CTCAGTCAGTGATGCTGCAGACTAGCATTGTTCAGTCTAGACTCAGTCAGTGATGCTGCAGACTAGCATTGTTCAGTCTAGACTCAGTCAGTGATGCTGCAGACTAGCATTGTTCAGTCTAGACTCAGTCAGTGATGCTGCAGACTAGCATTGTTCAGTCTAGACTCAGTCAGTGATGCTGTAGACTAGTATAGTTCAGTCTAGACTCAGTCAGTGATGCTGCAGACTAGCATAGTTCAGTCTAGACTCAGTCAGTGATGCTGCAGAGTAGCCTAGTTTAGTCTAGACTCAGTCAGTGATGATGCAGACTAGCCTAGTTCAGTCTAGACTCAGTCAGTGATGCTGCAGACTAGCATAGTTCAGTCTAGACTCAGTCAGTGATGCTGCAGACTAGCATAGTTCAGTCTAGACTCAGTCAGTGATGCTGCAGACTAGCCTAGTTTAGTCTAGACTCAGTCAGTGATGCTGTAGACTAGCCTAGTTCAGTCTAGACTCAGTCGGTGATGCTGCAGACTAGCCTAGTTCAGTCTAGACTCAGTCAGTGATGCTGCAGACTAGCTTAGTTCAGTCTAGACTCAGTCAGTGATGTTGCAGACTAGCCTAGTTCAGTCTAGACTCAGTCAGTGATGCTGCAGACTAGCATAGTTCAGTCTAGACTCAGTCAGTGATGCTGCAGACTAGCCTAGTTTAGTCTAGACTCAGTCAGTGATGCTGTAGACTAGCATAGTTCAGTCTAGACTCAGTCAGTGATGCTGTAGACTAGCCTAGTTCAGTCTAAACTCAGTCAGTGATGCTGTAGACTAGTATAGTTCGGTCTAGACTCAGTCAGTGATGCTGTAGACTAGCATAGTTCAGTCTAGACTCAGTCAGTGATGCTGCAGACTAGCATAGTTCAGTCTAGACTCAGTCAGTGATGCTGCAGACTAGCATAGTTCAGTCTAGACTCAGTCAGTGATGCTGCAGACTAGCATTGTTCAGTCTAGACTCAGTCAGTGATGCTGCAGACTAGCATTGTTCAGTCTAGACTCAGTCAGTGATGCTGCAGACTAGCATTGTTCAGTCTAGACTCAGTCAGTGATGCTGCAGACTAGCATTGTTCAGTCTAGACTCAGTCAGTGATGCTGTAGACTAGTATAGTTCAGTCTAGACTCAGTCAGTGATGCTGCAGACTAGCATAGTTCAGTCTAGACTCAGTCAGTGATGCTGCAGAGTAGCCTAGTTTAGTCTAGACTCAGTCAGTGATGATGCAGACTAGCCTAGTTCAGTCTAGACTCAGTCAGTGATGCTGCAGACTAGCATAGTTCAGTCTAGACTCAGTCAGTGATGCTGTAGACTAGCCTACTTCAGTCTAGACTCAGTCGGTGATGCTGCAGACTAGCCTAGTTCAGTCTAGACTCAGTCAGTGATGCTGCAGACTAGCTTAGTTCAGTCTAGACTCAGTCAGTGATGTTGCAGACTAGCCTAGTTCAGTCTAGACTCAGTCAGTGATGCTGCAGACTAGCATAGTTCAGTCTAGACTCAGTCAGTGATGCTGCAGACTAGCCTAGTTTAGTCTAGACTCAGTCAGTGATGCTGTAGACTAGCCTAGTTCAGTCTAGACTCAGTCGGTGATGCTGCAGACTAGCCTAGTTCAGTCTAGACTCAGTCAGTGATGCTGCAGACTAGCATAGTTCAGTCTAGACTCAGTCAGTGATGCTGCAGAGTAGCCTAGTTTAGTCTAGACTCAGTCAGTGATGCTGCAGACTAGCCTAGTTCAGTCTAGACTCAGTCAGTGATGCTGCAGACTAGCCTAGTTCAGTCTAGACTCAGTCAGTAATGCTGCAGACTAGCATAGTTCAGTCTAGACTCAATCAGTGATGCTGTAGACTAGTATAGTTCAGTCTAGACTCAGTCAGTGATGCTGTAGACTAGCATAGTTCAGTCTAGACTCAGTCAGTGATGCTGCAGACTAGCATAGTTCAGTCTAGACTCAGTCAGTTATGCTGCAGACTAGCCTAGTTCAGTCTAGACTCAGTCAGTGATGCTGCAGACTAGCATAGTTCAGTCTAGACTCAGTCAGTGATGCTGCAGACTAGCCTAGTTTAGTCTAGACTCAGTCAGTGATGCTGTAGACTAGCATAGTTCAGTCTAGACTCAGTCAGTGATGCTGCAGACTAGCATAGTTCAGTCTAGACTCAGTCAGTGATGCTGCAGAGTAGCCTAGTTTAGTCTAGACTCAGTCAGTGATGCTGCAGACTAGCCTAGTTCAGTCTAGACTCAGTCAGTGATGCTGCAGACTAGCCTAGTTCAGTCTAGACTCAGTCAGTAATGCTGCAGACTAGCATAGTTCAGTCTAGACTCAGTCAGTGATGCTGTAGACTAGTATAGTTCAGTCTAGACTCAGTCAGTGATGCTGTAGACTAGCATAGTTCAGTCTAGACTCAGTCAGTGATGCTGCAGACTAGCATAGTTCAGTCTAGACTCAGTCAGTTATGCTGCAGACTAGCCTAGTTCAGTCTAGACTCAGTCAGTGATGCTGCAGACTAGCATAGTTCAGTCTAGACTCAGTCAGTGATGCTGCAGACTAGCCTAGTTTAGTCTAGACTCAGTCAGTGATGCTGTAGACTAGCATAGTTCAGTCTAGACTCAGTGAGTGATGCTGCAGTCTAGCCTAGTTCAGTCTAGACTCAGTCAGTGATGCTGCAGACTAGCATTGTTCAGTCTAGACTCAGTCGGTGATGCTGCAGACTAGCCTAGTTTAGTCTAGACTCAGTCAGTGATGCTGTAGACTAGCATAGTTCAGTCTAGACTCAGTCAGTGATGCTGCAGACTAGCCTAGTTCAGTCTAGACTCAGTCAGTGTCTAAAATAGGAACCTGACCCTGGATCTTATCACCTGTCCTTTCACCTGCCCACATCCCATATAGTTTTGCATGAGAGAAAGACAGACCACAATAAAACAGAAGCTGATTGGGAAACCCTCAATCTGTATCCCAAATGGAACCATATTGTCTACATAGTGCACTACTTTTGACCAGAGCCCCATGGACCCTGGTCAAAAGTAGTGCACTATATAGAGAATAGTGTGACATTTGGGATGCACACACATTGTGGCAGCAGGCCAGGTCAGTAGTTACCTAGACCTCACCTCACCACACCCAGCTCTGCCCTGCCCCCATGTTTCTGGTCCTGGTTTACAAGGGATAAGGGGAGGCTGTGGAGAAACCCTGCAGAGTTTATGGAAACTCTTATGTTTCTTATCAGACGTGTGAATGGGAGATCTGCACTGGCCGTAGGAAAATGAACTCCATGTTAACACAGGCGTGGTACAGATGCCCAAACACAGAGATGAACGGTGATGATAAAGATCTTTAAGCTTTTCACACTTGGAGTAGCATAATCTTTAACTAGCAATCAATTCAGTAAAAGGCAGTGTTGGGGAAGCTACTTTGAAAATATAGTTTACCAAGCTACCAATTACTTCACACTGAAAGAAGTTTAGCTACACTAAAACTACCCTTAAGAAAAAAATTGTTTACTTAACTAAAGTTACTTTGAAAAAGTAGTTCACTACAGCCAAACTATTTCGTGAAAAATTGTCATAGACTACAAATTCCAAGAACAGATCACTTTGGGGTCATATGTTAACATTATGTGTAATTTAGCCTATTAAACACCAAAAAAATAGGTTTCAAGTGAGAATTTGGCAGGTCTTATGCACAAAAAAAATGAAATGATTGCCTACTTCACCCATATTTACTTTTCGGGAAAAAAAAGTAGTGTAGTTACAGTAGTTAGCTACACCACTACATGGCAAAGAAGTTATTAAAACTACTGAAAACACGACCTAGATTCGAATTTAGTTCAAGCTAATGCAAAATATAGTTAAATTACTAGTTGAACTACATGTAGTTCACTACTCCCCAACACTGGTAAAAGTGGAATTCCGTATTTGTTAGGGTTTCCCAGCTCTGTGAATTGTGGTCTATGACAGCAGATGTCAACAACATAGACACAAAGCAGACACAACCAAACACATGCTTTAAATCATGACAAACTATTGATACTGATAAAACTACTGAATAAAACCGCGTCATTCAATTTGTCATTCAATATTATAATCTCACAACATGTGTAATGTGTTGTCAACTGAGTGCTGCATAACTTGTCTCAGTAGGTCCCCTGGTGGTCAATGATAGCCTATGCGCTTTTTCCCACACCGTATTTCCAAAACGAGAATTCATTTTTGAGCCTTAACGGTCGCCATATGATTGCGCAACCTGCGCGCGGGATATTTAACAGACGTAAACAAATTCGGAGAATCATTGGAATCTAGCTAGCTAGCTAAACAATTGTTGTAGCAACTGTCATGTATATTTTGTCAACTTAACCATTCATCTACAGCAGTTATCATATCCTAACCACCCCATTGACGAGGAAAATGGTAAGTAGTTCGTTGCTAGTACGCTTGTTGTCGTAGCAGCAGTTGCTAGCTCGCTTCAGTGTATAGCCAGAATGTTGAATACAATTCCATTTCATCTTACTCTGTCGGTTGCCTTGGTGGTTGGTCCTTATGCAGCGCGGAATTTGAGACACCATATCTACGAGAATCCAAACGTGGGTCTACTGCGAACAGACTGGTTTTCTGTTTCCTCACCTGACAAATATCTGTCTTCTCTGCTTCACTTCATGTCACCAAAAAATCCTGCATGTGCGCCATATGTGCACCATATATGCATACGCATGAGGCTTGTGGGGGAACATTTATTTTGAGGAGCAGAGAGGAAATTATTTGTGACATTAAGTTGTCCACTTCAAATGTGTATTATGTCATGACAGAGGAGAAGCCTAGCACCAAGCCAGGTTGCCAAACGGAAGCAGGGAGGAGATTCGTCCGAGGATGAGGATTGGGATCCAGAAGAAGATGTAAGTTATGTTTGGGTTGATCAGACACTCATCCATTTTGACTATGATGTTCTACTTATATTTCACTGTAACGTCAAGCAGATAGGATAACACAGCATGTTGTTTCAGACCAAAAGGAGAAGGAAAGGAGGAAAAGAATGCAGAGAAAGCTACATCTCTCCCTTCAGAAAGCCTTTGACACAGTTGACCAACCAGCCTGTATCATGTGTGGACAGCAATGCACACGTGAGTGGTCATTTTGAGGCATAAATGTCTTTGACAAGTGTGTGGCATGTGATCACACAAACAATCAATATAATGCTGTTATAGACATGTAATCGCCAATCCTTTGAAGTACTTTGCTCATCAATGTCTTGTCTTTACAGGAAGCCTTCATTCGAAGTATTCTCTCAAAACCTTTTAAAATCCCCATCCCCAATTACACAGGTAAGTAAATATGTCAAATCAATGTTGCTACCCTAGTTCTTCTCTATATGACTTTATCTTTAGGAACAGCCTCAGTACATTATATTACGCTGAGTAATGGATCTATCTATTACATTGGGATTGTGTTTGTTCTATAGGCTCTCTGGGGATAAGAGCACTGGGACTGAAGCGTGCGGGGGTGAGGAAGTCTCTTCACGACCCATTTGAAGACGGTGCACTGGTCCTCTATGAGCCTCCAGTGCTGAGCGCTCATGAGCTGATAAAATCAGAGAAGTGAGTTCATCCCAATATTTAGGGAGGGATTAGAAAACATGTTGATGTGAAGTCAGTAGCTCACAGTTATGGGGAGGGAGAGATTAGAAAAACATGTTGATGTGAAGTCAGTAGCTCACAGTTATGGTGAGGGGAGGGAGAGATTAGAAAAACATGTTGATGTGAAGTCAGTAGCTCACAGTTATGGTCTCATATCATTATAAAGATCACAGACTTTGGTGATACCTTTGCACAAAATGACATGTTGTAGTAGAACTTTATTCACATGTCTCTATGTGTGCAGAGAGAAGCTGCCTGTACACGTTGTTGTGGATCCAGTACTTGGAAAGGTCCTCAGACCCCATCAGAGAGAGGTACAGTCTCTTTGTAAATATTGATACTTTCTGTGTCCCAAATGGCACCCTATATAGTGCACAACTTTTGACCAGGGCCCAGTGCACACTTAATTGTATTTGTGTATAGTTTTGTTTCTATTAACCAGATTTTGTTGTATTCTGTGTCAGGGAGTGAAGTTCCTGTGGGACTGTGTGACTGGGAGACGTATCGCCGACTCGTATGGCTGCATCATGGCTGATGAGATGGGGCTGGGGAAAACCCTGCAGTGTATTGCCCTCATGTGGACCCTGCTGCGCCAGAGTCCTGATGCCAAGCCTGAGATAGACAAGGCCATCGTTGTTTCACCCTCCAGTCTTGTTCGTAACTGGTACAACGAGGTGGGAAAGTGGCTGGGCGGACGCATCACACCGGTGGCCATCGATGGGGGATCCAAGGAGGAGATTGACAGAAAAATAGGTAGGTTTGTTTTGACTATTACGCATTATTCCTGTTGTGGCAATACTTTTAGCAGTTGCATGGTTGTTCCCAGGACTCCGGTTGTTCCCAGGACTCCCTGGGAAAACAGTGGCAATTGTTACTTAGTGGACTATTCAGGCTAAATAAATAAGAATGACATGAAATGTTAACATTGAACTGGGTTTATGTGCTTGACAGTGAACTTCATGACCCAGCATGGCTTGAGGGTTCCTACTCCAATCCTGATAATTTCATACGAGACGTTCCGGCTTCATGCTGAAGTTCTGCACAAAGGCAAAGTGGGACTTGTCATCTGCGATGAGGTACAGTGACGAGGAGATCTAGTCCAATATTCACAAAGTGGTGCTGATTTAGGATCAGGTCCCCACTCTTATTCATTACTTATTCATTATGATTCAAAAGGCAAAACTGATCCTAGATCAGCACTCCTACTTTGAGATGTTTTATGAACACAGTTCCTGGTTCTTAGGCTTCTGCTTTGGTTTTGGATTGATGTTATCCTCAAATGGACGATATACAAGTTGTAATACATTGTGTTAATTTCCAGACTTGATTTAACGTGATTATGTCCATAACGCCTTGTTCCTTGTGCACCCTGTAGGGTCATCGGCTGAAGAACTCAGACAACCAGACGTACCAGGCTCTGAATGCTATGAGTGCCCAGAGGAGAGTGCTGATCTCAGGCACTCCCATTCAGAACGACCTGCTGGAATACTTCAGTCTGGTGCACTTTGTCAACGCTGGCATCCTGGGTAAGCTGACACTACTTACAACTACATGGAGGCAAATGGACAAAAATCTATAAAAGGTTTATCTCAAAATGGCAGAATTTCTGACATATGTATGCTTTCTGAAAAGACGGGAGAGACACACTTTAAATTAGGTCAGTTAGATCTCCCCTTCTCTTCCTTCTAACTGTATACCCCCCCCAAATAAAAATAAAAAACTGTCCTCCTGTGGTTTTTGTTTCCCCTCTCAGGAACAGCCCAGGAGTTTAAGAAGCGTTTTGAGCTCCCCATCCTGAAGGGTCGTGATGCAGACGCCAGCGGCAAAGACAGGCAGGCTGGAGAGGAGAAACTCAAGGAGCTGATCAGCATTGTCAATGGGTAAACCTCACAGCCTCACACATTGCTGAAGGCTTAATAGTTAGTTACATACAACTGTTGGACACAACATACAACACAATGGACATCTGTATGGTCGTGTGTATTTTCAGACTATCTATCTAATACATCTTTGTCTGGCTGAAGCGCAGACCCACATCGTACACAGCGAGCAAGTCGGTCGCTTTAGTCAGGCAAAACGTATCTGCTTTTTTCAGAATATTAGTTTTTTCAGAATAAAAATAACATAACTACTTAATAGGTCCGGGACAATACCAGTTCGTGATACTCGTTAGTATCGTGGCAAGGAAACAAAACATGAATCTTTAGGAAAACCGCCCTAATGTTGAAAACAAACATCATTATGTTGTCATCCAGAGTCACATTGATTTATTTTCCAAACTATAGCACACAATATTTTACATACAGCAGGTTTTTAAAGGACCAAATAGTTCAGTCTGCTTCGTGTTTTCATTTTTGCCATGGAAAAACTTTTGTGATACTGGTATCGTCACAGCCCTATACTTAATGTTTTTCTCTCCTTGGTGGTTTTAGATGCTTGATCAGGAGAACCTCAGACATCCTCTCCAAGTATCTTCCTGTTAAGATCGAACAGGTCGTCTGTTGCAGGTAACTCTTCCGTTTTTAATATGTATTTTTACATATTAAGATTGTATTATGTGTATCGATTGCAACTGACCACTGATAATGGTATTTCTGATGGTATTAACAAGTGTGTTTTAGTGTCACAAATAACACTCACATAATGATGCCGTCGTTCAACTAATTGCAAGTGTATACTACCTGAATAGTCATTACAGGCGTATAGGGACACTTTAATATACAAGTTAACATTTGTATTGAAATACTATAGAATAAAAATAAGTTGATGCTGGATAGTGAACAATGCCAAAAAAGCCTTTGTGCAACCAAACTTCCAGAAGTAATCAAGGCACTCATTTAGTGGATAGATTTAAAAGCCTGTACTGTTCACGGCTTAACATTTGCGTGTTTTTTGCAGGCTGACCCCCCTCCAGTCAGAGTTGTATAAACTGTTCCTGAGGCAGGCCAAGCCCTTACAGACACTGCAGCAGCAGGGCAAGATCAGTGTCTCCTCTCTGTCCTCCATCACCTCTCTCAAGAAGCTCTGTAACCGTAAGTGTCCAAACAACAAATCCACTGGTGCTTTCTTATATGAATTGTCTTTCAACCTCCCGAGTGGCGCAGTGGTCTAAGGCTGTGCCACTAGAGATCCTGGTTCGAATCCAGGCTCTGTCGTAGCCGGCCGCGACCGGGAGACCCATGGGGCGGCGCACAATTGGCCCAGCGTCGTCCAGGGTAGGGGAGGGAATGGCTGGCAGGGATGTAGCTCAGTTGGTAGAGCATGGCGTTTGCAACGCCAGGGTTGTGGGTTCGTTTCCCACAGGGGGCCAGTATGAAAAAAAATAATAATAATGTATGCTCTGGATAAGAGCGTCTGCTAAATGACTAAAAATGTAAATGTCTTTATTTTAGTATTGTGTTTTATTTTAATATTGGTGATGTCCTCCCTGACTTGAAACAACTTGTTTTTGGTGATGTGTGTGGATATCCATTTCTTAGATGTTTAGTTTTGCGTCAGTGTTTGTTGGTCTGTTTATATTGTGTGACATGTAATTTTTATTTTCTCCTTTGCCTCACAGACCCAGCTCTCATCTATGATAAGTGTGTGGAGGGAGATGAGGGCTTCGATGGGGCCCTGGATCTCTTCCCTCCAGGATACTCCACCAAGGCTGTGGAGCCACAGCTCTCTGGTAAGAACACATTATTTTGTTTTAGGAATGATTAGGGACAGGTAACACTTACAGCTTGCAGATATAATTCAGTACGATGCCGTTTTAATGCATTGTCATGAGCATGTACAGTATTATCCCCTTATAATGAATTATAAACACCCCATTGTTAATATGGGATCTATAATGACGTTGATCTTTCCTCCAGGTAAAATGCTGGTTCTGGACTATATCCTGGCCATGACCAGAAGCACCACTAGTGACAAAGTGGTGTTGGTCTCCAACTACACACAAACACTGGACCTCTTTGAGAAGCTCTGTCGAACTCGAAGGTAAGGGCGAAACTGACACGGGAGCTGTTACATCCATCGTTTTTTCAGTTATTCTTGAAAATGAACTTTGAGAAGGGAAAGAAACCGCTTTCTTCTTTTGATCAGATACCTCTACGTTCGGCTTGATGGCACAATGTCCATCAAGAAGAGGGCAAAGATAGTGGAGAGGTTCAACAGCCCATCTGTAAGTAGTGAACATGTTGTAAATGGCATCTTACTATAAGAGTCTGTGTGTTTTACATTTTAGTCATTTAGCAGACGCTCTTATCCAGAGCGACTTACAGTTAGTGAGTGCATATATTATTATTATTTTTTGTAATTTTTTCATACTGGCCCCCTGTGGGAAGTGATCATAAGTATTTACATGACATCTCTCTCACGCTCAGAGCCCAGAATTCATATTTATGCTGAGCAGCAAAGCTGGGGGGTGTGGCCTGAATCTGATTGGTGCTAATCGCTTGGTGATGTTTGACCCTGACTGGAACCCAGCCAATGACGAGCAGGCCATGGCTCGAGTCTGGAGAGACGGACAGAAAAAGACCTGCTACATCTACAGACTTCTTTCAGTGAGTAGAACAGAGAACGACAAGAGTATCATACTGAAAAGTGGTCTTTTCAAATACGTTAATTCATTAATTGGATTTATATCGCTTTTCCAAGTGCTTGGAAGGGGGGACTCACCTCATCCACCCAGGAACAGTATGGAACATGGTTTATAGTGGATGGTGGTATTTGCAATTGTGTTTTAAGTCACGTGAATGGCTGACAGTTGCTGTGTGTGAATGTGTGTTCCTGCAGACAGGGACGATTGAGGAGAAGATCCTTCAGAGGCAGGCTCATAAGAAGGCTCTGAGCAGCTGTGTGGTGGATGAGGAGCAGGATGTGGAGAGACACTTCTCTCTGGGGGAGCTACGAGAACTCTTCCATCTCAGTGAGGAGACCACCAGTGACACGCATGACAGGTACACACACACACACACACAACCGGTACAAACACAGTTCGCAGCAGTAGGCAGAGCCCATTGACACTAATTTAAAGATAGTTGCGGTCCATTCTTGGATGTTGTTGTTGCATCCTCCCTCTTTTTGGAAGAGTTCAAGTATAATTTAAAAGCTCTTATGTGTTTGAGACTTACCTTAATCACAACAGTTGTATTTGTCCTCTGACGTGAACTATTCTGTCTCCTGTGCCCCTGCCAGGTTCCGCTGTCGGCGTTGTGTGAATGGGCGACAGGTGCGGCCCCCTCCTGAGGACTCTGATTGTACCTGTGACCTGTCCCAGTGGCAACACTGCTCTGACAAGAGGGGCCTGAGAGACCCTGTACTGCAGGCCTCCTGGGATGCTGCCGTCTCCTTTGTCTTCCACCAGCGCTCCCACGAGGACCAGAGAGGGGTCGTGTGACAGCCAGGCAGCCTGAGACAACCAGGAGTCATGGTATTGGACGAGAGGGCCTAGCCCTGAACCAAGGACGGCCAACCAGCACGCAGGAGCAACGTTACTGGACAAGAGGGCCCAGGAAAACAGTCTGTGCTGTCCTTGGGACGTCCCTACCCTAAACCGCTACCCCTTTAAATTTCAACGTGATGGGGACGTCCCAAGGATCCAGGATTGCACGGACCCTAGGAAAATGGACAAAAAAAGAGACCAGCTATTTTATGATGGGATTACTACTTATCGTGATGGATTCAGGGCTCAATCCCCCATACTCTTTTTATAAGGGTGTGTAAAAGTAATAACCATATTGAAGACCATTTTCTTCTTATGAAAAGTCAATCCTACCTGCAATTGTCCACATCTATATTTACAGTCTGTTTTGGGTTCTATCCACAGTGTAAATGTTATTGTATATTGTCTAAATGTACTTATATTGGGTTTCTATTAAATCGTATACTTTTTCCCTTGATAGTGAACATGTTTTGTAAAGAAGTGTGACAATTTCATGTCAGGATTTATTGAACCAAGACAACTGTTAGCAATTCAACAAACAAGATATTAACACAAAATGATCTAAGGGCTGCAGATGTTGTATGAAACATGACAATGTCAACAATAACAAAGATGCTGAGTAAAAAGGGTAACAAACAGAATCCTAAACATTGGTGAGCTGAACAAGATATAAAAGGAAATGGTGCATTTGTTATTTTACACAAAAACAATTAGGATAGAGTCCATTATTTCACTATTTGAAATGCCAAATATAAGGCCACTTTTTGTTCTTTTTGGTTTATTAGGCATGCAACAGTCTTGACTAGGGTTGCAAAGGAAGGGTATATTACTGGAAACATTTAAAGTTTTAACTACCAGAATGTACGTACTGTATCTTTCAAGGATTCTATGTAATCTATCAAGACATCTAATGGCACTTTTGGGTATTTAAGATTTTTACAGGTGTCTAATAATCTGGCCCTTTTGTGTGGCCTTATCGCATCAAATATGAAATAGTTGATTATATTTTTATTTTATAGAATGACAGTTGTAAAACATTATCCTAAATATAAACCATTGGTGTTTAATGAGGGTTTCAGCATGAAATATCAATTTCAATTGTACAGTATTTCTTGCCAATGTTTTGGAATCAAACTTGTGGCAGTTGTGAAAAAAGTCAGTTTGAAGAGTTGCAGAGTTAACTGAAAATAATGGCATTGTTGAGTAGATGCTTTTTTCATTAATTAGGCTATTTTGTCTTGAACAATATGGTCTATGTACTAGAAACACATGGACAAAAATTAATATATATTTCTTATAATATATAATTCAAGTATAAATTAGCAAAGTTACAATAGATTGTTATTACTGAAGATTCTGGTAACTGGTAAATTACCGATAGCTTTGCCCTCATTTACATAAATCAGTAACTTCTGAGTGTTGTAAACTGGAATAAATTGTTCCTTACAACAAAATATGTTTACAACTGACTTCAAACTGAAGCAATTTTCAGTAAACTGAGGAGTGAAACAGGGAGGCACTGTCTCGACTTGTCTTATAAGCAATGCTCATTTGATTTCCGTTGCGAAACATTTTACTACAGTGTGCCCTAATGAACACAAGATTCCCCTAGGTACAGATCTAGGATCAGCTTCCCCACCCCGACTCCCAGTTAGTTGGGGAACTGCAAAACTGACCCAAGATCAGCGCCTAGAGGCAACTTCACCATACTCCATTCACAAGAGTTAAGGCCCTGTTCACATGATGCTGATGTGGTCAGCCGTTGTAAAGGTGGAGTTTCAGTGGTCAGGTCTCAAAGGTGACTGAGTGTGCCCAGTCTCTCAGCTCCAGGTCTCTGTCCAGTGTGTTTCTCTTCAGGGTGAGGAGTAATCTCTTGGGAGGACGGTGGGTCTCCAACTGCCTCCCTAACTCCAGCAGCTCAGCAGGTTGGACAAAGTTGGAGCCGTCAACCACAAGACAGGAAATACAAGATTCAGAATGGCTACATTCCGATTCGCCACCCTTCTTTCAAAGTTTTCAGTTGTACACTCTCCATCATGGATTTAACTGGAAACTCCCTCCTGCCAATGCTTACACCAATCCATGACGAGGAGAGTGCAAGTTAATGCACACATTGGGGGAAGTGTGGAGAACCGGGATGCAGCCCAACTCTTATAAGACAAATTAGGCCTCTTCACAAAATGGCAAAATAGCCTACAATACAATTGAAATGCTGATAATACTTACCTAATGTCCAGTTCTTTCAATATGCTTGGTGAGGGTCCTGTGAACAGTTCCTCGAACACGGGCACATTTGGCTAAAGGAAGAAGGGAAAAAAATTGCTATTTTCAATTCATGCATTTATTTCAAAAAACCAAATTCATATTATCTAGAAGTGTCAGGTGCGGACATAGCAAGAAAAGTATTTACGAAACAGCTAAATCGGCCTCTTACCGAGGCGGTTTTGAGCCAAGTTGAGGGACTGGAGAGATGGAACCTTCTTGTGAAAATGAACCAGCTGTCGGACAACTTCCTTCTCATTGCATTTCTCCAGAAGCCGACAGTCCTTCAGCGACAACGCTGTCATTATGGAGCAGACAGGAGAATACAATTAGGATGCATCCCAAATTCCCATTGGACCCTGGTCAAAAGTAGTGCACTACATAAGGAATAGGGTGCCATTTGAGACAACCGTAGACGCTGAACAAATACTTGTTTGGGATATCAATGCACTCAACTTTAGAGCAGCATGCATGTTAAAAAACAACAGAATGAATTTTGATACTCAATTACATCATTTGATACAGAAACTACTTAATGGAAATCTTTCCTTAACTTACAGTTGTTATCCAGTAGTTGGAAGAGTGCACAGAGACAGTCAGACAGGTTGACAATTTTACCAAATGGGAGAAAATACAGAAATACACTGAGTGTACAAAACATTAGGAACACCTTCCTAATATTGACTTGCACCCCATTTTGCCCTCAGAACAGCCTCAATTTGTCAGGGCATGGACTACAAGGTGTCAAGTGTTCCACAGGGATGATAGCCCATGATGACTCCAAAGCTTCCCACAGTTGTGTCAAGTTGGCTGGATGTTTTTTGGTTGGTGGACCATTCTTTATACACACGGGACACTGTTGAGCATGAAAACCCCAGCTGCGTGCAGTTCTTGACATACTCAAACCAGTGCGCCTGGCACCTACTACCATACTCCGTTCAAAGCACTTAAATATTTTGTCTTGCCCATTCACCCTCTAAATGGCACATACACAATCCATGTCTCAAGGCTTAAAAATCCTTCCTTAACCTGCCTCCTCCCTTTCATCTACACTGATTGAAGTGAATTTAACAGGTGACATCAATAAGGGATCATAGCTTTCACCTGGATTCACCTGGTCAGTCATGGAAAGAGTAGGTGTTCCTAATGTTCTGTACACTCAGTGTATATCCTACTGCTATGAAGAGTTGCACATGGATACTACATTAAGTTCTTGTTGAAGCACATTAATAAAGAGCCAGATATTCCATGTTCTAGCCCATTACGTGAGCACCATCAACTTACACATACAAAACTACTAGGCAAATAGGCTAGTACTTATGGGCATTGGTCAAAAGTAGTGCAATATATAGGGAATAGGGTATCATTTGGGACGTATGCTAGAACAAGTTACTTGCCACCGCGTTGAGGTGGCTGGGTGAGAAGCCAGTTGAACTGTCGATTCCTGAGAAGTGAAGTGAAGTGAGGAGAGTGTTGCAACACACAGAAGACTCTCCACACTGGTCCACAGTTTGGGTACTTTCACACACAGCTTCTCCAGGGAGAGTTAAAAACAAAAACACTGGACAAATGATCTTCATAGATATCCAGTTCTGTACTCAATTCAAAAATGGTACATTTGCATGCAATTGCTTTATATACAGTACCTGCGATCCTCATAATATGTTAACCTCTCTTACAGTATATTCAGATTTCTATTTTCGTTGTTGTAAAATTAATGTCACCTAGCCCAACTCACTAAATGTCAACAAGTTACAACTCACTAAAACTTGATTTAATCAAATATAACAAAAATATATTTCATACAGGTTGGACATGAATAGCGTGGGATGGTCTATGGGCAAGATTCCCAGACACAGAGTAAATGATTAAAAATCTTTCTAAATGTTGATTCTCCATTGAAAGTACATTTTAATCCAGGACTAGGCTTAATCTGGGTCTGGGAAACAATACCGAAATGCTAGGTTGTCAGTCACCTGAGTGGTGTGCCAGCTGGGGGATGCTTCTCAGTAGGGCTCTGTGGAACTCTGCTACAGGGTGCATCTCCATGAAGAATGACCTGAGGGGTTAAGAGGACATTATAACATTTGGTGCCAGCTGTAATAAATAAAATAATAATAATAAACATTATAATATATACTACATGGCCAAAAGTATTTAGACACCTCTTCAAATGAGTGTTCGACTATTTCAGCCACACCCGTTGCTGACAGATATATAAAATCGAGCACACCGCCATGCAATCTCCATAGACAAACACTGGCAGTAGAATGGCCTTACTGAAGAGCTCAGTGACTTTCAACGTGGCACCGTTATAGGATGCCACCTTTCCAACAAGTCAGTTCATAAAATCTCTGCCCTGCTAGAGCTGCCCCGGTCAACTGTAAGTGCTGTTATTGTGAAGTGGAAACGTCTAGGAGCAACAGCGTCTCAGCCGCGAAGTGGTAGGCCACACAAGCTCACAGAACGGGACCGCCGAGTGCTGAAGCGCGTGAAAATCGTCTGTCCTCTGTTGCAACACTCACTATACCGAGTTCCAAACTGCCTCTGAAAGCAACGTCAGCACTAGAACTGTTCGTCGGGAGCTTCATGAAATGGGTTTCCATGGCCGAGCAGCCGCACACAAGCCTAAGATCTCCATGCGCAATGCCAAGCATCGGCTGGAGTGGTGTAAAGCTCGTCGCAATTGGACTCTGGAGCGGTGGAAACGCGTTCTCTGGAGTGATGAATCACGCTTCACCATCTGGCAGTCCGACGGACGAATCTGGGATTGGCGGATGCCAGGAGAACGCTACCTGCCCGAATGCATAGTGCCAACTGTAAAGTTTGGTGGAGGAGGAATAATGGTCTGGGGCTGTTTTTCAT